GTCACCCAGGTACGTCTGAGTTCAAACTGTGGCTTGTCAAATTAAAATCTTTTATTGTAGTCTCCCATTTTGTGCTTATTACAGAAACATCTCAGGGATGGGCAGAGAAGACAGATCTGGAATAGCAGCAGTGTTTCAAGTTTCAGATGCATTTGGAGAGCTTGTATGGAGGAAGCTTTCATAAATGACTTATATTGCTTTCTAGTTTATATTGTTGAAATCTAAGGAACCATATCAGCCTGCAGCCATGCCACCTTGTACTACAAGGAAATCTCCCACCTGAAGTGATATAAAGAATAGTTCCCGTTGTGTAGAACGTACACATATTTATCTCAAAATCTTTGACTCCAGGCTTAAGAAAGCAGACTATCGCCCTACCAGCTATCGTATAAGCTGATAATTGGGGATGGGGTATTCATACACCTTAAAGCAATCTCCCCACATGGTTGTTCTTTTAACTCAAATGTTATTTAATATTTATATCCTAATAGTGTCCAAAGGTCTTCAACAGGATCAGGCCTCTTGTGCTGGTTAAATACCTACACAGTCCTTGTCCCAAAGACTTGAGAATCTCAGAAGTTACCTTTGAGCCCTTAAACCAGTCTGTTAAGATTTTGGACATGCAAACATCTCAGTACAGAGATTTTGAACAATCCAATAAAGATCACTGACCATTAGAAACAGTAGCCAAATTCTTTGAAGTTCAAGGCTTGAAATATTTAGAAACTGTAAAAAGATCTCTTGCTGAGTGACGTTGGGGATTAGATATCCGGCAGGCAGCGTGCAAGAAAAGTTGGACAATTTGGGGGTTGTATTTGTGGGAAACAGAAGTTTAAATAATTCCTATTGAGACCTAGGCAGTTGGTACATTTGCTTTTCTTGGACCTAGAGTAACAGATCTAAGTAACCGGGCTGTTTCAGCGTAAACAAATGCTTACTGCTTCCTTTGGTTTCTCTATACTGTACTATGCAGGGTTGTGTACTGATTTCAGTTTGTGGATTTAAGGGGCCTGCATAACCTTCCTATGCCAGTTTCCTCCTCAAGCCCCAAAACATTAAACTTCACTCAGAGTGAAGGAGCTAAATGGCTGTTTCCCTAGCCAACATGATCACAGAGAACATTCAGCACTAGCAGTTTGTGGAGTAGGAGAGCCTACAGTGATTTTATGGTACCAACTCATAATCGTTGCTTTGATCCCACTCCACCCCCTGCATTTGCCAGAGCCAAATAAATGATAAGAGGGCTCAGGCTGAGAAAAACAATCTGTCCCAGCCATTCACTCACTTTGGTTTAATATTTTAACTGCTCTCTTACAAAAGATGCAAAGTCCATGAGCAACGAAGCTCTCGGTAAGTTCCCTGCCCCAGTTTACATTATGATTTTGCATTAGTATGTATGTTTTGTCACTAATATAATGTCACAGACATACTGGGGGTGTGAAACAGATAGTCAACATTGCATAGAAAGTCTGTGACTGAAGAAACCAAAGTAATGGTAGCTCAGGTGCTTGTCTGAACCTATTGAGACTCCCGCCAACACCCAAGACTTTCCTTCCACAAACCTACCACTCCTCTAAATATGCCCTGCTCCCCCTTTATCTGTTATCTTCTAGGGGGCAGGGACCCCTCTGGCCTACAATCCCCTCCAGCAGTTGGAACAAGCTCAGAAGTCATTCTCTTCTGCTATCTTCACATGGCAACCTCCTTCCCACTTTTAATCCCTCCAGGTGGTATCCATCCCCTTTCCACTTCTTTGTCTATCTATACACCCCAGGGCAATGGAGTGAAGCTGCTGCTGAGAGCTTATGTGGAGGCTGCCTCTTCTTCTTGTGCCTGCCTTTTTATAGCAATGAGAGAGCCACAAAGCAGCTAACAGGAGAAGCAATGAAGGAGAAACAGCCTCTAAAAACAACTAGTGGTAGGAAGCCAACAAGGCCCAGCAAGGGGAGCTGGGACAACAATCCTGTTTTTTGCCCTAAGGGAAATCAAAACTTGTCGGCTCCAAGAAGGGAAGTACTTTACAAACCAGAATTAAAGCTACATTTCTGTAATGCTAACATTGAGGTTACTGGGTTTTCTCAGATTGTCACAAAGGATTCACCTCCACTTTTTTGAGCCACTCATAGGGACATGGGCAGTACTGTCCCCGTGCCTGGAGCGAGGGTAGTAATAGGATCAGCTAAAGCTTTAAGTTTGTCATATGCAGGGATCCGAGTTTTCTATGATAAAACCCCCCAAATTCTCTGATAAAAAACATAAAAATCCATATTTTCCATAATTAAAATGAAATGCTGATCTTTAGTTTTCCTAGCCACAATATATAGGTAACTGTTGAACACAATATTTTATTGATATATTTACAATTTTTAAGCAAGTTTGAAGCCTACCAGTGCCATCAATCATTATAATAAAATAAATAGCATTGCAATTTGCATTTCATACACATACCAAATAATTCTATGTCTGTATTGTATATTTTCAGAAATTTGTTTTTTTTTTTTAAATGCACAAAAACGCTGGTATGATCCAGTCACAGTGCATTGTTTCTTTACTGTTGTTGATGGACCTGCTGTTTCAGTCTCGTTTTTGTTTTTGTTTTCATTCAGTTTGTTTGGCACTTGCTGTGTGTTCTGCAATTGTCTGCCTTCGAATGTAATCTAAAGCCTTGCTGCATACAGTACAGAACAGCACATTACCATCAACATGAAATTTGTCCTTGCCAAATGCAGAGACACACTGTCTTTGGGGTGATTGTTTAAGTTTTTGGCATCTTTTCATAACTTTAATCACTCACATCTGGAGGCTGAAGTGAAATTTGAGATGCATTAAAAAATGAACCCCACATACACCATTGACTAACCTCTCTACGCTGCAAGCAGTTTATTGGAGTATGTTTAGCTACGTAAAGTAAAGCGCATTCAAAAATTAACCACAAGAGGAGGAGGTTGCGCATATTGAGTGACATAAGTACTTTCAGTAAAATTTAGTTAATATGTTTTTATTTTTCACAAAAAGTAAAAACTAAAGATTCTTTGTAAAAATGCAAATTCAGCTTTTTTTCCATGGCAAACGGATTTCTAAGATCACTGGTCATATGCTCAGTGACACACAATTGTTTAATTTACTATCCTAGTTTTAAAAGCATTTAACTGAAAAGACCTCATGAGAAAAATAAACAAACAGGGAGCGTGGACAGCTGTGTTATCTACAAGTGTGCTTAGAGAGGGTGAGTGAGATACAAGGAGAAAGGGAAACAAAATGGAAGTATTGTGATAATCTAGTGAATCGACACACACTAAAAGTATTTTGATAAAAGTTTTATTGACCAGATAAACGCCCAACTCATGACACTAACACATAAATCTGCACTTAGTGCAGGTTTTATTTAGAGGACAGTGATTTTGCAACAATGGAAGAAAGTTATGTTGCATGTGTAGTAACTAGCTTCAGATATTAATAAATCATTTGGTTTTAATTATTTTTGAATAACCTCATTGGTTTCAGTTATTTTTGAATAAATGAAAGATACTTCCAACTTGACACCCAAATTTTTGATTGTGTGTTAAAAAAAAAAAATTACAATCGCTAACTGGAATAAAAAGTGTTCTGTGAGCAATGAAAGAGGAAATTCGTTCATTTTTAAATGTAATTATTACCTTGCAATGCTGTAAATACCTGACAATTAAACACTGTAGTAGTACATCAGAACCAGAAAATGAACGATTTAATCCTGACCCTCAAAACACTTATTCACATAAGTAATCCCAATGAATTCAGTGTAACTATTCACATGCCTAAATGTTTGCAGGATTTGGACCTTAGAAAGTACTATAAATGAAACTGACAACTCTATCTTCATTATCTCTGCTGAGTGAAATGCAAAAGTAAGGAAATCCCATAGACGATGATAACTAGGGGGTTGAGGGCTTTTTTAAAATAAAATATTGTGTATAATCCAGTTATAAAGTGACCAACTCTAAAGGCCCCAAGGGGAAAACTCCCCTACTAAGAGAATGGACATTAGAGCAGATGTAGCAAAGCCCTGGGTCTAATAACGGGGAAGAAAAAAAAAAAAAAAAAAACAGGCACTCCAAGAAGTCAGTTATGTGCAAATTCATCAGCTCCTCTCCACCACCCACAGAACACTGAAAGCATTCGTAAAATAAAAAGTGTTCTGATCTTGCTCACTGTAGTGAGAGGGTTGTGGGAAAGTACTGTGGACAAGGAGACAAGTTACAGGAATTGAAACTAATTACCTGAACCAGCAAAACAATTTCCTGGGCTCCACGTCCTAGGGTATGAAATGATTCTGCAATAAGAAGCCCTCCTTCCACACATACCCCAATGCACAATATGCACATTGATATTGAACTACAGGAGTCTACTGAATGAACATGAGAACATCCACCTGTGCAAGCCAATGATCCTAGCGAAGTAGAGCTCAGAGCAGATTAGAGAGGAGCCCTAGCCCAGCCATCCCATACAAGTTAAAAGATTCTTCCCTCAGACCAATATTCTCTCTTCCCAGAAATGGGGTGGGGGGGAGGTTTAGAATGGAAGAAATGTTCACAGAAGTTGATGGATTATCTTAGAGCTTGGCTGTAGACAATGGATTGTGTGGTGTGTCCTGGATGGAAGCTGGAGTCATGTAGGTAAGTGTAGCGGTCAGTAGGTTTCCGGTATAGGGTGGTATTTATGTGACCATCGCTTATTAGCACAGTAGATCTCAGATCCCCTTGAATCTCTGCCCTCCAGTGGCAGCGAGTTAGGCTAACTTCTGTGAATTATTTCAGAGTAGCAGCCCTGTTAGTCTGTATCCGCAAAAAGAACAGGAGTACTTGTGGCACCTTCGAGACTAACAAATTTATTAGAGCATAAGCTTTCGTGGGCTACAACCCACTTCTTCGGATGCATAAGAAGTGGGTTGTAGCCCACGAAAGCTTATGCTCTAATAAATTTGTTAGTCTCTAAGGTGCCACAAGTACTCCTGTTCTTTCTGTGAATTAGTTTAGTGCCTATTGCCAGACTAATGAGCAACATTTAGTGACTTCTGGTGTAGAAGAGTCTACAGGGACATGGTCCCAATCAGCATTCTATCTGGTGGTAAAGTTAAGCCCATAAACTCTCAAGCTATGGCCCATGGACTCCTAGAACAGACAGAATTTCACAAGGAAGAGAAAAGGTTAGCACATGACAGGATCTGTCTTTCTCTTGCAAAGCAGCCCTCAGGCTGAACAAAACTGGAGAACCTCCCCAGTCAGTTATCAATGATGCCAACCACGCAACAGAAATAAAGAACTGTTCACTGCTAAAGGAAAAGACTACAAAACTTGGATTAACTGGATCCAAATAAGGAAGGCCATCATGACGCTGCTGATGACAAAACAAACTCCCAGCTACACAAACCTCACGATTCAAGTTTTGTTTGAGATCATAGGTAACTGCATTGTCTCTGGCCCACAAGACAGGTGTGAGACAAAGACTTCCAACTGTTACTGTCAAAGAGTTTGGCTGGTAAGCCCCGCTTTGGAGCTGTGTGCACACAGGAAGCAGAAACAGAAAGGAACTACATGAGTGGAGGTGTAGAAGGATACATATCAGATCTTGCGTAGAAACAAACAGGTAGAGCTGGCCATCCTGGGGTTGTGCCCTCCACAAGGGTTTCTTTTTAATGGGTTTCTTGAAGAGATCATAAGAAAGTCATGACAGTTCCTTTCTTGCCAATCTGCCAAGGTTCCAGTGGATAAAAACGGATCAGAATCCTTTGCATGTGGAAGAGGAGAGAACACAGGAGGAAAGGAAAGGTTATTATTTTATAATGGAACATTATCTCCAGTAAGTTCTCTCAACAACCCAGAAACACACCACTAAACATAGCTCTCAGTGGTCTGGACTTAACATCTCTGACTGTAATAGGAGCAGGATTTTTTACAGGGTCAGTGTGTGAGTGGGTTCTAAAGTCCTGTCCACACCCACAAAAAGTTAAACTGTTAACCATCTATTTATCCAAGGTACTTACCGTATATACTCGTTCATAAGCCCAATATTTTTGGTAAAAAAGTGACATCAAAGAGCGGGGGTCAGCTTATAAACGGGTCTACACCAAAATTTGATGATTTTAAAGTCTATGGAATCATTTAATTGAATATCTAATACATTGTTGTTTTGTTTACCTGGAGCGTCTGCAGGCATGGAGCCCCTCAGCTGATCCCATCATTACACCAGTGCATTTGGAGGTAACTCTGCTTTGACTAAACCCGGGACTCTACCCCTCATTCTCACAATTAGGCTCAGCCGGAGAAAGCCAGGAGAGGAGCAAGAAGGAAGATGCCCAGTCTAACGAGTGCAGGAAATTACTGACGGGGCAGGGGGAAAATCAGGAGAACTGGAGGAGAGAGACCCTCCCTGCCAAGGCCTCTTATAAGCTTCCCCTACTTGTACTTAAACACAGACCTTGATTAGTGACGCTCCAACCAGCACTGATCTGGGTCTCACTGGGACGCTGCATGAAACTCCCCTCTACCTGCTGCATACATCTCCCCCTGCTCTCTGCATGCCACTCACCTGTCTGCACCGAGCCCCAGCTCCTTGGTAAGGAACTCAAAGAACTTGGCACTGTGCCCTCTGTTCTGCTCCGCGGTTCCCACCACTGCGATGGATGAGACAAGAAGCTGAGCGCAGGGCGCTGCGGAGCCGCCAACCACCATGGGCAAGTCGCTCTTCACAGTGACGTTTATCCTCTGCCATGCCGGGCACAAGGGCACACCCAGGGAAACAGCCATGGGAGGGAGGGAAGGAAACAGAACACAAGCCTCACAGATATGAGCAGTGTGTGTCATGAGGAGGAGCTGATGCCCTGGGCCACCCACCCCATGCACCCCAGGGGAATCCTGTCTTTCCATTTCCCTCCTATTAGGGTGCCCTAGACCAGGGGTTCTCAACCTTTTTCTGAGCCCCTCTATACTACAAAAACTCCACAGCCCACCTGTGCCACAATAACACGTTTTCTGTACAGAAAAGCCAGGGCCAGCATTAGGGGGTAGCAAACAGGGCAGGTGTCTGGAACCCTGTGCTGCAGAGCCCCCCGCAAAGCTACATTGCTTCAGCCCCGGGGGGGGGTGGGGTCCAGGGCCCCAGCCTTCAGACCCACGCAGTGGGACTTTGGCTTTCTGGCCTAGGCCCCAGCGAGTCTAATGCTGGCCCTATTTGGTGGCCCCCCCTGAAACCTGCTCACGGCCCCGCAGGGGGCCCTAGACCAGTGATGCTCAGTCTTTCCCATACCAGGACCCCCTCCCATCTAGCCCGTGCCCCCCAGGGGGTGCGGGGCCAGCAGAGAACTGGGGGTCTAGTGGGCAGCGCAACTGCCACTAAACAGACTCGCAGCTCTGTGCATCGGCCGCAGGCCCAGCTGCTCCTGCAGGGAAGTCGCCTGCAAGGGCGCATCCAGCCTGCGCGGCCAGACCCGAGGCCGCTGCGCTGCGCTGCGCTGCGCACGCCGAGGCAGGAGACTCACCTCCTCGGGCTTGCTCAGGATCGCAGCGGCGGCCGCGCACAGCTTGCCGGCTAAGCCCTGGGGCAGCTGAGCGGCCGGGAGGCTGGTGTCTAGCTCCAGGAACGGCATGGCCGAGACAAGCGCCACAAACCAGCTACCGCAGTCTGCAGGGTCACACGCGGCGCGGCCGCTGCGGAGCAGGGAGTGGGAGCGAGCGCCGGGGCTTGCGATTGGCTGCGCCTGGAGACACCCTCGTCTGTCTGTCTCTCCGCCTTGACCCCTTGTGCCCTGGGTAGCCTCCCTGAGCACGGCCCGTTCCTCTCCCGGTGGGTGGGAGGTTTGCTTTGCCTGGCCTTTTATGAACACGTTGCCACAGCCACGGGTGTCCCCGCTGCCACGGCGATGCTGCCTAGTTCACAGGGCTGGTCCTGCCCAGACAGGACAGGAAAAGCAGTTCCGGGGCCTCGGTCACCTGGATCCTCCAAAGCTGAGTGTCCTGTTTACCAGATTGTACAATAAAATATAACACTATGGATTTGATGCCCTGGTTCTTGTTAGGTTTATTTCCACATGGCAGAGAAATCTGATTCTGCTAAGGGAATGGAGTCTTAAGACTTCATATGTGCAGTGTGCCTCTAGTGGCATGTGACCAGGATTCATCACTGAATTTGGTGCACTGGTTGGATCATTAGTTTCCCCAGCCTGGGCCGGGTACTGACCGGGAGCACAACGTGAACACTGATCCATGTCCCCCCAAGGGAAAGGAGTAAGCCAAAACGAAACCCTCTATTCATTTTCTGTGGCACTGGCGGGCAGGTATATGGATTGCTTATCAGGAAGGCAGTTCGCCTACTTCATGCAACTCCCTGATCAAGAGTGTCCTTAACAAAGCCACAAATGGAAATGTGCCAGTGGTGTTTACCCTGGCTTTCATTTGTCTGCTGGAAACAAATGTTTATTTCTCGCACCCTAAGTGCCCTGAGAAGGACAATAGTGGTGAGGGGATGGAAAGGCATAAAACACATACACACACTAATAACCTGAACACTGAAATGTAACAGTAAGTCTTGACAGGCAGCCTGACACCACGGCACGATTGATTTATCACACCCTACCACGTGACAGAGTGCTTGTAATAATATGCAAGTGACCGCATGAATGCAACTTAACTGTGATACTTAATTTCTCTTGTTTTTGCAGCCTTTTTCATATTGCTTTACCTTCCCTAAAGACTGGAAATTATTTCTGCCCTTTGTTGGGAGATGGATAGAGGGGTTTATGTGCCTACAGCTGGCTGGGACTCTCTGCCTTCCATGTGTTCATTATTTCTTCTCACTTCGATATCTCTTCTTATTTAGATACTCCACATGGAGAAATGGGGTGAAGAAAATATTCTCCTTTTCACTAACAGCTGCCTATTTTATCTCCATGCGTGGTTGCTAAAATCCAAGAAGCCTGTTTGAGAGGTTATGTCTCCCACGTTACTGTCCAACTGATGTGGCTATTTGTAATATATATTTATAATACCTGACTCTTTATGCTGAAGTGGCAACTGTGATAATGGGTAACATTATCATTATAAAAAAGTTCAGCTGCAAAATCTGAGACTGGCCCATGGTTTGAATTTTGTGACGGGGAGTTAATGATGTACAGCTTTTGAGTGGAAAAATCTCAATGAAAATGGACACTTCCAGAAGATTAGGGCATTTAAAAACCAAACCAAACCCACTAACCCTAACTGGAACTTCTTAAGGAGGGAAAGTGTGTATGTAGCAGAAGGGAACGAAGCTCTGCTTTAAGTTGACTGCACTTCAAACCCAGATCCTCTAAAAGCAAAGATAACAAAACACCCAAAGACAAACGACTGCTGCATTTTTATTTTGAACATATGCTTTGCAATCTTCTGAAGAGGCACACTGGCAGCTGATGAATCTGAGAGGTAAATGTCTGATGTAGTCTAAGCAGATTCAGAAAATGTCAGTACATAAATGTACACAACTCCTGCTCTGAGTTTTCTAGGAAGAACAAGCAGTGACATTACAGTGACGTATATGCAAGAGTTACCTGTCTGGCTGAAAGACTGTTATATCCATGTGAATAAGCTACAGTAAATGCTTGTTTCTATTTTTAATTTCTATTTTATAACAGTAACAGCACATCAGGCAGTGCATTTCCAAGACTTGCACAAAAGATTTGGCACTTCATGTGATAGAAGTCACCTGATGGCTGGTATTCTGGGCATGCAACTGCACAGAAAGTACACTGCTTTGGGTGTCCAGTGGCATCATTATTTCTAGCAACATTTTAAGAGCACAAAATCCTGGATAGATGGGGCACAGGAGGTTAGAACAGAAAATTCACCAAGGAATGAGTCACTCCTCTGTGCAGCAAACTGCCAGCTGTGAAGAGTGGCACTGGCAATTGCAGGATGAGGAGAGGAAAATGAGAACAATGTGTGCTGCCTCAAGAAGCTAAAATGTCCCAGAGGTTAGTAAGCTTCCACAGAGAGAAATCCGGAGCATGTGTGTGGAAGGGGGTTGAAGACTCTCTGCTAGAAGTCTGCATTCTTTTTGAGTTTTTCAGAATTGGAAAGGAGCAGAGAAGCTGACAGTCAGTATGAGGATATTTAAGAGGACTGCGATGAAGAAGCCCTGTGAGAGATAGTAATGAGTGAATTTTTGGGGACAACACACTGTCTCTTTCAAGCGACAAAAAGGCAATGGTTAAGGGAAAAAAGGTCTAATTTTAAAGTGCCCTGCTGTGGTTCACTGTTAGAGGATAAAGACAGAACATGTGGAAAAGTTCCATTACTCAAGTGAAACGTGTGGCAAGGTCTTTCTTCTTGGCACAGGGTAATTGCACATAACAGGGGAATTTCGGGGGTTGGATTTAGAAAAACATTCAGAAAAGTCTAGCAGTGAAAGAATACTTCACATTTCCTCCTACTTCAGCATCTTGGGCTTCATTTCCTCCTTCATCTGTGGGTCAATCTGGACTTTCCTCAAATCCTGGGCATTCAGGATCCATTCATGCACTTCTTGGAAGAGCTCCTTCCCCACAGCTTCCTCCACCTGGCTGTGCCATGTCACCAGTTTGGGCCAGCCCTCAAAGATGTCGCAACCAGCACCTACGGGCTGCAAAGAGAGAAAAACACCGCAGCCAAACGTTAGTGAAAAGGAGAGGAATTCATTTCAATTAACTGTGCACAGCAAAATCCTGCCCTGGATTAACAAGCAACTGCCAAAAGTGGGAAGACAATTGGCTGACTAGTGTCAGTGTCATCCTCAATCTACTCCAGCACCTAAATGCCTGAGCCTGACTTGAAGGGTGGTACATCCTCATTGCAATTCACGTGGTGCGTATTGCAAAACCTCAGCTACTAGAGGTTAAGTCAGGAGATAATGAGTTGATTTCTCCAGCAGCATAACACCGTTGAAGCTAATGAAGTTACACCAGCAGAGAGTTTGGCTTAATAGCTGTAACAGTTCTCACATGCACTAAGGCATGGTCAATGAGAGAACACGAAATCATCATTTAAGATCAAAATTGCAGCATCAGCAGTTTTTCTTGCCCTCTCAAAAGTTTATCTGCAGGGTGACCCGCTCTTTGGAGGGAGGCAGTGCTGCCCCATAAAGCATCTGGAGGAGAGGGTGTAGGGAGAGGTGGAAGGTGCTGTAACACAGTACTCCAGGCAAGTGACGGATCCATAAGGGAGCCACTTCCTTTTAAATGCTGTATTTTGTGAAGTCCCTGATTGGTATTTTGCAGACTGAGAGCAGGGAAATGACTAGGGGAGGAAGCCTGCCCCCCCTTGGGGTGGGCTCTTTATTTTAATCTAAACCTCAGTTCCCCATTGCTCCTCATTTACTCTTCATAGGATTTGAATTCTTCACAAGAAGGACAGAAAACTGTAATGAGGAGGGAATGACGTGAAGGAAAACATAGGATGGGGGGGGGGGCAGAGCAACACTGGATCAGACTGTTTTGTAGCATCTGCCATCTTTGTGATGTCGCTGAATCCTGCTTCCCTTCTCAGTCGTGTGGTGCTGCATCAAACCCTCCTTCCCATCTCCAAGGAAACTGTACCAGCACCACATGCTGGTCTTCAGGCAGTATAGACAACATCAGTTTTTCATGATGCTGAAAATTCACTAACACTCCTACACTCACCTGCATGAACTCTCTGATAGCCACCAGGTCTGCCAGAGAAATCTCGCTGCCCACAATGAAGGGCTTGTCCTGCAGGAACTTCTCTGTGAACTTTTTTAGGGAACTATTCAGCTCAGCCAAAGCCTCCTGTAGCTTCTCTCAAGGTATTGGCTTTCCTGTGAAGAGAGGAATCACCACCTGCATGGGGAGAAGGGAATAGGATTAGCTTCCATACACATGCAATGGAATTTAGTCATCGCCAAATGGGGAACTGCATAGATTGCTCCATGTATTTACAGGAGAGCTAATCCGGTACCGAGCTGTATGAATCCTCTATTTCTCTGTACCTCTAAGTATCAGCAATCAGAATGAGACTTAATGGGATCCTCGAAGCAACTGGACATTGTCCTGTTGCAGTTCTGAGAACAATCTGTGGATCTCAGATATCCTTACATCAAATGCTGGTAGCATATGCATCAGGTTTCATAGTCCACTTCTCACACTGTCTTTTGCTCCTACTTAGTAGGCGAAGTAACCTTTTAATTTAAGTGGAGTGCTAGGATCCCTACAAGTTTGGTTTCATCAATTTAAATATATCTGTTACCCTGTAAGAGGAGACATACCAAATCTCCCAAAGACTCTTGGCCTTGCTGCATGATCTTGCTGTTCTCCATCAGACCACTAGAGGGAGAAAAGAGCCAGGTGCATGTAGTTTACCACATGGCATCATTATAATTTGTATGATCATAGCACCATGTAAGTGATTTGTATGTATATGTATATTGTATACATACATATTAATACAAAGTGGATTTCTGTATGTTCACCAATTGGCTGGTTATGGTCACAAGACATACGCTTATTGGACAACCACCCCCAAAATGCAGCTATTTAACCTCACACAGGCACTTAAAAATGTGGGAGCACTTAAAAAAAAAATAAAGAAGGACGTTAAATGCCCCCTCATGACTCTGTCTGGAACTCAGGAGTGCTGATAATACTCAAACTAACTACAATTGACCAGATCAGGGAGTGGTACTTGGCAGCCTGGATTATGTAGGGAAACTTGCCCCATGACTTGCTCCAAAGGCTAAACTAGCATG